CTACCAGCAAGATCCAATGGCCACGCGACATTACAAGAAGAATTCCGAGCCCAATTTTGGATCGGTGAAGCTCTGTCTGATTGATTCGCTCACGGTGGATCCTGAATTTCATGAAATTCTGGCAGACCGATGGCTTCGGCCCATGCGTAATCCCAGGGCTCGAGAAATTGTCGCTCCCATGCTTTGTCTTCCTGAGCACGGTGGCATGGTCATCAGTGTGCGGGATTGGCTGGGTGGTGAAGAACGCATGGGCTGCCCTCTGACGCATGAGATGGACCACAGCCAGCGCGAGGGCTTCAGGAAGGAAGAGAAGAAATCGGAAAAGACCGAGACTAACAGCGGGTTCGGTAGCAGTCTTTTGGGTGGTGGTTCTTCTGCTCCCGCTCCTGCCCCGCAAGAACAAGGAAAGACTGAAATGCTCGAAGTCCTCTTAGACAAGGAGGCTCTAAAAAGCAATGAGATCGTGGTCCTAGCCATGGGTGAAGAGGCGAAGAAATTTGCGCCCACTATGCCTCACGCTGTACGAGTTGGCTCGTTCGGTTATCCTATCCCCGATGCTACTGTGGCGGTGGTTGATCCCGAGTCCAATTTGCTGTGCACCCCCAACGTGGTTGGCGAGATCTGGGTTGACTCGCCCTCCCTTTCAGGAGGCTTTTGGGCCTTGCCGAAGCATACGGAGGCTATCTTCCATGCACGGCCATACAAGTTTGAGGAAGGTAACCCTACACCTGTTCTGGTTGAGCCGGAGTTCCTCCGAACGGGTCTCCTTGGCTGTATAATTGAGGGCAAGGTTTTCGTCCTTGGCCTTTACGAAGATCGACTTCGACAGAAGGTGGAATGGGTAGAACATGGACAGGAGATCGTTGAGCATCGGTACTTCTTTGTCCAACATCTGATTGTCAGCATTCTGAAGAACATCCCGAAAATCCATGACTGCACAGCTTTCGATGTTTTCGTCAATGAGGAACATCTTCCGATTGTCGTCTTAGAATCATACGCAGCTTCGACAGCCCCAACAACTTCAGGTGGTCCTCCACGGCAGCTGGATTCAGTTCTATTGGAGTCTCTGGCTGAGAGATGTATGGAAATCCTCTACCAGGAGCACCACCTGCGCGTCTACTGTGTTCTATTGACAGCCCCTAATACTCTCCCTCGTGTGACCAAGAATGGAAGACGCGAAATTGGAAACATGCTCTGCCGCAAAGAATTCGACAATGGATCGTTACCTTGTGTTCATGTCAAGTTTGGCGTTGAGCGGTCAGTCCTGAATCTGCCGATCGGAGTCGATCCCGTCGGCGGTATTTGGTCTCCACTTGCACTCATGTCTAGGCAAGAGATGCTTGCAATGCAGGAAAAGCAATACTCCGGAGTTGATTATCGTGACGTCGTCATGGATGATCGTACGTCTACACCACTGAACAACTTTTCTAGCATTGTGGATCTTCTTCAATGGCGTGTTTCTCGTCAAGCTGAGGAACTCGCTTATTGTTCCATTGATGGTCGTGGAAAGGAAGGTAAAGGCATCACCTGGAAGAAATTCGATCTAAAGGTTGCTGCTGTAGCCATGTACTTGAAGAACAAGGTCAAGGTTCGACCTGGCGACCATCTGATCTTGATGTACACCCATTCGGAAGAATATGTCTATGCAGTCCATGCCTGTCTATGCTTGGGCGCGGTGGCCGTTCCTCTTGCTCCCATTGATCAGAATCGTCTTTCTGAAGATGCTCCTGCATTCCTCCATGTTATCAATGACTTCCGAGTCAAGGCGATCATTGTCAACAGTGACGTTGACCATGTGCTGAGGCAGAAGCTTGTTTCTCAGCATATCAAGCAATCTGCGCAAGTCCTACGAATTGGGGTCCCGGCCATCTACAACACCACGAAGCCTCCTAAACAGTCTCATGGCTGTAGAGATCTTGGCTTTACCGCGAAAGAGACCTGGAAACAAAGTAGTCAGGCAGCAATGGTCTGGACTTATTGGACTCCTGACCAAAGGAGAATTTCGGTTCAGATCGGCCATGACACTATTATGGGCATGTGTAAAGTCCAGAAGGAGACATGCCAAATGACTAGCATGAGGCCGGTCTTGGGAAGCGTACGAAGCACTCTAGGACTCGGATTTCTTCATACCTGTCTTATGGGTATCTATGTCGGTAAGTCAAGCTTATAAATCCTGACGGGCAATTACGTGTGTTGATCAGCCTCTGCAGGTGCGCCTACATATCTAGTTTCGCCAGTCGATTTCGCCCAGAACCCCATGACTCTTTTCGTCACCCTCTCCCGGTACAAGATCAAGGACACATACGCCACAGCCCAGATGTTAGATTATGCAATGAGCGCCATGGCCGGTAAGGGTTTCCAGCTGCAAGAGCTGAAAAACCTGATGATATCTGCAGAAGGACGACCGCGAGTCGATATTTGTGCGTCTCTCTGTGCTAATTGTGAAGGCACCTTGCTAATATTACTATAGACCAAAAAGTGCGTCTTCATTTCGCTTCTACCAGTCTCGACCGCACCGCGATCAACATTGTCTACTCCCACGTCTTGAACCCTATGGTAGTTACGAGGTCTTATATGTGCATTGAGCCTGTGGAATTATGGCTTGATCTGCGCTCTCTGCGTAGGGGACTTGTCTATCCAGTCGACCCGGATACTGATCCCAACGCTCTTGTTCTACAAGACTCGGGTATGGTGCCAGTCAATACACAAATAGCAATTGTTAACCCGGAGACATGTACCTTGTCGCATGTGGGAGAGTATGGTGAGATTTGGGTTCAATCCGATGCCTGTGCCAAGGCTTTCTATGGTTCCAGGCAGGACTTTGATATGGAGCGCTTCAACGGACGGGTAGTGGATGGAGACCCCAATGTGGCGTACGTTCGGACGGGAGACCTGGGCTTCCTGCACACAGTTACAAGGCCAATTGGTCCTAATGGCCAACCGGTGGAGATGCAAGTTCTTTTCGTCCTTGGTGGAATCGGCGAGACGTTTGAGGTTAACGGATTGAACCACTTCCCGATGGATATCGAGTCGTCGGTGGAGAGATGCCACCGCAACATTGTGACTGGAGGGTGGTAAGTGATCGACCAAAACTTTCCTGCTGCATGTGCGCCTGCTAATAAACACCATCAGTGCCGTTTTCCAAGCGGGTGGTCTCATTGTGGTTGTAGTCGAGGTCACAAGAAAGGCTTATTTGGCATCACTTGTTCCTGTTATTGTTGATGCCATTCTCAACGAGCACCAAGTCGTTGCAGATATTGTTGCCTTCGTTTCCCACGGAGACTTCCCTAGATCTCGTCTTGGAGAGAAGCAGCGCGGCAAGGTGCTGGCTTCGTGGGTTACCCGGAAACTGCGAACGATCGCCCAATTCAGCATTCGTGACATGGAAGGCTCTGAGAACCCTTTCGCGGCACCCCAGCACCGGATGAGTCGAAGCTCGAAACCTGGCAGCACCATGGGCAACAGCACTCGCAGATCTACCGTTGTACCGGATACCGAGCCCTTACTCCGGTCGCCCGCTCCGGTTCTTGTCGAGCATTCCGAAGCATCCATACACTCGTATTCTGGCATGCAGGAGCCTGGCATTGGCAGCCCTACCGGCACTGCGTCTGAAGGTATAGCCTCTGTTCCGCAAATTTCTGAACCCTCGCGGCCGACAACCGCTTCAACGAATGATGTTACTGCCGTAACAGGAACCGAGCTTCCCTCAGCCATTGGTCATCCCGACTTCGGCTTCGAATTCGGCGATTTCACCCACACGACAGGTGCCGGCTCGTCTAGCCAGGCGGGACCGGGAGCTCCTATGATGGCCGAGACTCTTCCCTATCGGGATGGCCCAGGACCACAGCCGCAGCAAGCAAGTGGGGACTTCCCTGCGCGGTCCGACTCATACAACCGAAAGCCCGTTTCCGACACATTAGATCGCAGCTCCGGGGACTGGCCACAGGAAGCATTAATTTATCAATCCACCCTGGGATACGATGACGCCCCGAGTCACGAAGGGACACCCTATCAGCAACGTTAGTTAAGTGCGAATTGGCAGTTACTGTACTGTACATAATAGTCTGTTTGGACGAGGCCGCGAGGCCCATTTTGCCGAGCCGGCTCTGTATGTGTCTTGTTGACCGACTTGCAGCACCTTCCATGGCACCTCCTCACGCTTTCCCATTTCCCATTTTGCATAGCCTGCCCATCATCATGACGACTTATCCCTCTCTTTCTATCTCTTCTTCTTCCCACTCTGATTGGCTTTGTCCTTTGATCATAAACCTCTATATTGCTTTATTGCTTCCAGTTTGACAAGTATATGTGTTCGAACCCTTGCTTGCCCCTCAGCCCCTGCCCCATGATGAACGACATGCATTGTTCTGTACATAGCATACCCCTCTTCTTCTTTTCTTGTTTGGCCGCGCCCCGGCCTATTCTATCTACCTGGTATAGACAGACGTGCTCGGATGTTATAGCATTGATAGGCAGCCACCACACCCTTCTATATTAGCTTTAAAAGAACCATTTATCATCCTGTTAATCATGAGTATCTTACCTCCCATTGCTGAGCGGAGCCTTGACTGTAAACCATAGAAGATCGGAGATCAGTGGACATTCACACCACCCAGGCCTCTCTAGTTCGATTTGCTCTTCGTGTCACCAAACCTTGGGCAGTTTTTAATTGAATTAATTGGTTTTTCACAGGTCGCACGTAACCAGTAGATCTTCCAACGAAGTTCTAAGCCGCCAGTTGCTCAACAGACAGCGTGTGTAAGTGCTTACACTTGAGATGTTTGCATCGTACTACAGAAGGGTCCCAAACGTATATTGCAAGATAGTATTCGAATCTGCTTTACACTACTCGCCCCGAAATTACCCACCCAGCGCTTTGAGCAAACCACACGCATATGCGCTCTCTCCGTCTCTTTTTTCCCCTCTGTTTCTCGGCTCCTCACGGACAACGTCACAGAACTTTTCGAGACATTTCATTCACATTCGTGTAATATAGAAGGCAAAAAAAAAAGGATATCTTTCTCTCAGGACCCGCCCCTAGACATTATAAAACAAGAAACAAATGCTCCCGAAACAACAAAGAAAGAAAGAAGTTTTGGTATGGTTGAAGGTGAACAAAGGCTTATTTTTGGTTTGGATTGATAGGAGACAGCCAATCACTGGCTCTCGGCTTGCTTGGTCAGGTTGGCCAGATCGACTTTGGGCTTGGAGCTGCCGGCGAGGGTTTCGAGGGCTTCGAGGTCCTCGTCTGTGAGAGTGTTGGAACGGATGGGGCGGAATGGGGCAGGAGAGCCGGCGCGGCTGGTGAGGAACTGTTTTTTCGCGGGTCATGATTAGTAACGTGGATTTTCGGTTGAGAGGGGAGGCAGGGGAGGGGCAGGGGAGACGAGACGGAAGGGGAGGACTTACAGAGCTGGCGGCGCTGAGGAGAGCAATCAAACTGGCTTGGACAACATCCTGGTGGATACCAACGCCCCAGACGGTTTCCTTGCTACCGGCGGCAGTACACTGGATGTAGGTGGCAGCCTTGACGTCGCGACCCAGACCAATGGCGTGTTCCTTGTAGTCAACGACATCGAGGTCGATGCCCAAGGTGGCCAGGGCGTTGGCCAGCGAGGAGATGGCACCGGGGCCCACGCCGGTGATGCCGTGCTGGACGTTGTCGATCTCGATGATACCGGTGAAGCGACGCTTGAGGTTCTTGGTGTTGAGAGCCTTGCCGGGCTCGGGGGGCGCGGGGGAGGTCGACCGGTCCGTCGTGATGTTGTAGTCGATCAGCGTGAAGCGCGGGTTGGACTTGAGGTGGTAGGCCTCCTCGAACAGGCCCACCAATTCGCTGGGCAGCAGCTCGCGGCTGACCTCCTCGGTCTTGCGCTGCACGATCTTGCTGAACTCCACCTGCAGAGCGCGCGGGAGATCCAGCTCCAGGCTGCGCAGGATGACCCAGGCGGCACCACCCTTGCCGCTCTGCGAGTTGACCCGGATGACGGCCTCGTAGGTCCGGCCGATGTCCTGCGGGTCCAAGGGCAAGTAGGGGATCTCCCATTTCGTGTCGTCGCTGGCGCCCGCCTCCTCGCGAAGCTTGAATCCCTTCTTGATCGCGTCCTGGTGACTGCCGCTGAAGGCGCACACCACCAGCTGCCCGCCATAGGGCCATCTCTCGTTCACGGGGATCTTGTTGCTCTCCTCGACGACCTTGATGACTGCATTGATATCGGAGAAGTCGACCTTCGGCGAGACACCTTGCGTGTACAGGTTGAGGGCCAGAGTGACCAGGTCCACGTTTCCAGTACGCTCACCGTTACCGAACAGGGTACCTTCGACACGCTGTGCGCCGGCCATCTGGGCCAATTCCGCGGCGGCAACGGCGCAACCGCGGTCGTTGTGGGGGTGCACGGAGACAACGTACTTCTCGCGCTCAGAGACGTTGCGGCAGAAGAACTCGACCTGGTCGGCGAAGACATTGGGGGTCGACATCTCCACGGTGGCGGGCAGGTTGAAAATGATGGGGTCCTTCGCCGTGGGCTCCCAGGCGGCCTTGACGGCCTCACAGACCTGTGCGGCGAACTCGGGTTCGGTATCCGAGAACGTCTCCGGCGAGAACTCGAAGTGCCATTCTGTACCGGCCATCTCGGGGTCGTCCTTGGTGATCGACCGCGCATACTTGGTGCAGCGGACGGCCATCTCCAAGCTCTTCTCCTTGTCCATATTGAAGACGATGCGCCGGAAACACGGACTCGTAGCCAGGTAGATGTGCAGGATCGCCTTCTTGGCTCCCTTGAGGGAGTCTACCGTGCGCCGGATCAGGTCCTCGCGACACGGGGACAGGACTTGCAGCCATACATCGTCGGGAACCAAGCCAGGGGTTTCGACCAGGCGACGGGTAAAGTCGAAGTCAGTTTGAGAGGCAGAGGGGAAGGAGACTTCGATTTCCTTGTAACCGATGTCGCGGAGCATCTTGAAGAAGCGGAGTTTTTGTTCCCCGTCCTGTCACGGAGGACACATGTTAGTCTGCTCGGGTGGCAATCAATTGTATCCCAGAGAGGAGCCAGTCTACGAATGACGGAAAAGGAGGAGCAAGTCATACCATGGGGTCGGGCAAGCTCTGGTTACCATCTCTCAAATCCGTGGCCAGCCAGCGGGGAGGGGTATCGATGACCTTGTTGGGCCATTGGCGGTCAGGAAGGTGGAGCGGCTGAAACCGCTTGTATTTCTTCGAGGGATCTTTGAGCCTGTGACGAAAATTGATCAGTTACAGGCTCCGACAGCAATAGTCGTTTGTCTGCGCGTGACAGAGCACCGAATATTGGGGAGAAGCGGCAATGGGAGCTCACATGGGCATGGTGGGCGAGAGAGCGGATGGGGGGAGGAGGGGAGGGGGGATCCGCAGCGGGGAAGAGGGAGGAAAGACGGTGGGTGGGGGAAATTATGGATAAGACAAAGCCGGGGTTGGAGAAGAGGATTTGGGACTGAGGAATGGGCCTCGTGAAGAGGAAGTAAACAGAGCGGGTGGTGGCTTGAAAGTAAGAAGAAAGAAATCGGAAAGGCGAGCGGAGGAGGAAAGAATAGCAGGATTACTAGTTATAAGAGAGCGGCGAGGGAGTGAGTCAAGTTGGGATTTCGTTGGATGACGCTCCATCATCGATTTTTTTTACTGTACGGCGCCGACAGCGGATGGCGGGGCGAGGTCTGATAGGATGACCGCCATCTCCCTCGACATCATCCAACATCCAGAGCAAGTTACCGAGTCTGCAGTAATTCAATCGAATTGCTCAAGCGTCTCAATTGGTCAACTTGGGCATTGATCATTGATGCCATTGTGCCTACAGTCTTCCTCGTGCACTGTACCCCAGACCGTCACCGTCACCGTCACCCCTTCGTCAATCACGGTGCAGTGATTAGCAACCCGACCGGGGAGTGGAAGCAAAGCTGAGTCTCCCGCTCCGGCAAGTCTGGGGCACGCCGATGACCGGAGGCGGTCAACCAGATTCCACCCCCGCGAATAGCCGACAATACCCGTTCAGCTATGCTCGAGTACACTATCAGTCAGGAGGTATGGTCCAAGGAAGAATGACAGTAGCCAGAAATCTTTGTCACACATTAACCTGGCAGTGGAGAGAAGAAGAGAAAAAGAAAAAAAATCATTGTGGAAAAAGGTAAAAGGTAGTAGGTATATACAGTGAGTACACTCAACAGGCTCAAATCATGATCACCACCATCTATCTACACTCATTTTTTCCCCTTCTTGCCCTTCTTCTCAGTCGGAACTCTCCCATTCTTTTGCGACTCTCGCGTGTTCTTGCCCTTCTTCCAGCCGGCATTGCCCTCCAAACGCTGTCGGGAGTCATCCAATTTCTTCTTGTCCTTGTTGCTCAGCTTCACCTTCTCCTTCTTCGACTGACCGGGTCCGTTCAAGGCCTCCGCGCCCAGCTTGCGAGCGGCACGCTTGTCTTTCTCGGTCTCAAACCACGTCCGCTTGGGCCGGGACTTGATCTCGCTCTCGTGCTTGATCAGATTCTCTCCCTTGGTCACCTGCATCTCCGCTTGTGCCAGCTGCTTCTCCACCTTCTCCTCTTCCAGAACTTCCTCGATTTCATCGGCCAAGTCTTCGGCCTTAGCCGCCCACGAGTCCGCAACCGCAGGGTCGATCACTCGACTGGCGATCTTGGCACCTTGAGTCTTGCCGGCCTTGACGGCGGCCTTCACCACCTTGCGGTCGGGCTCGGCCGCAATCGTGCAGGCCCGACCCGACCGACCGGCACGCGCGGTACGACCGACACGGTGCAGATAGATCTCGTGGCTCTGCGGAGCTTCGTAGTTGATGACCGTCTCCACGCCCTTGATATCCAGACCACGAGACGCCAAGTCGGTGGCCAGGAGGAAGGCAGCCTTGCCGTCACGGAAGCTTTCCACGCTTTTGATACGCTACAGAACGGCGGTTAGCTTGTGCTCGTAAGTCGTAGAAGATAGATTCGGACATACCTGTTCTTGGCTCATGCTACCGTGAAGCTCGGCAGCTTTCAACCCGAGCAGACTGAAAACAATGCGGACGCGGTGGGCCTCTTTCTTTTGGCGGAAGAATACAATCACTCGTCCAGTGTAGATTTCCTTGCACAGATACAGCAGGTAACCCAGACGCTTGTCCTCCCGGCCAGGGCGGAGACGCACGAATTCCTGGGTCAGCGTCAAGGCCGTGTTCTTCTTCGAATCGACCATCAGGCGCACGGGACGGTTCAGACCGACGCGGATAAGCTTATCGACGGTGTCGGTCATCGTAGCGGAGAAGAGCATGGTTTGGCGGGACTTGGGGATCGTGGTCAAGATCTCGTTCAGTTCGTCGGCGAAACCGTCCTCGAGCATGCGGTCGGCTTCATCGAGCACCAGAATCTCGAGCGTATCAACCGTGAAACTAGGCGAGTTCCGCATATGATCGATGAAACGACCCGGGGTGGCAATAATCACGTCGGGCCGCTTCTTGAGAATGTTCTCCTGCTCCCGCAGGCTGAAACCACCAACCAACTGACAGAAGGTGACATCGGTGTAGGTGGCCAGCTTGGTGGCCACATTGTAACACTGGACTGCCAACTCACGAGTGGGCATCAGAATCGCGACACGGCTGGTAGGGACCTTGCGCGGACGGAAGAGCAAACGTTCGAGAATGGGAACGACGAAGGCAGCCGTCTTACCGGAACCAGTAACGGCACTACCAACGATATCCTTGCCGAGAAGCGCAACGGGGATGGCCTTCTGCTGGATGGGGGTCGGGTTGGAGAAGTTGACCGCAGCCAGACCACGAAGAATAGGTCGCGACAGGTTGAAGTCCTGGAAGGAGCGTTTCGCGTTGACAGCGGAGGTCTCAGTCTTCTCCTCGGGGGCGAAGAATGCCTTGCGTTTGGCTGCTTCTTCGGCGTCGACTTCGCTCTCCGCATCAGATTCCTCGTCGGCGCCCACATCGTCAGGGTGCGCGACAGGAGTAGCGACGGAGTCGTCGTCGGAAGCGGCATCCTCATCTTCGTCCTCATCCTCATCATCCTCGTCATCCTCATCGACCTCCTCTTCCGACTCCTCGTCCACATTTTCATTTCCGCTCTCATCCTCACCATCAGCGCCCATGCCGAAGCCATCCTCCGCCAGCAGCTCGTCATCGCCGAAATCGACGGACATACCCCCATCCGACTCATCTCCGCTATCCTCCTCCTCAGCCATCTGCTGCTGCTGCTGCTGCTTCTTCTGCTTTTTCTTCGCCGCAGCCTCTTTCTTCGCCTGCCGCCTCTCGATAATCTCATCAATGTCCACCGCCTTCTTGTCGCCGTTTCTGCGCGCCTCCTCGTCAGGCACATTCTGCGCCCACCCATCGAACTCAGTCACCTCATTCGCAACCCCTCCCACATCGAATTCGAAGTCCGGGTTCAGGGCCCCATCATCCTCGGCGGCATCGGCATCCTCATCTTCGCTGTCATCTTCCGCGTCCTCCTCTTCTTCCGACTCCGGTTGCGCAGCCTGCTTCGCGCCCTTCTTCGACGACTTGTTGGCCTGCTTCTTCTTGTTGTCCTGCTGCTTCACCTTCTTGTTCTTGGTATCGGCCGGCTCCTCCCTCTTGCGCTTTTTCGTCGCCGCGGCGGTCGTCTTCTTCGAGGCGAGTTCGTCGTCGTCACCTTCCTCGTCAAGCGGATTGAGCGTGTCGTTCTCGTCGTCGGACAACGTCATGACGAAGTCGTCATCCACCTTCCGTTTGGGAGCCATCTTTTTTTTTCTCTTCGGGCCAACACGAAGGGGAAACTTTTGGCGCAAAAATCAATTCGTGGCGACTGAGATAAGCGTGAAACAATTCCTGGTGGTTCCGGATTCTTCAATTCCAGATTTATCGGTAGATTTAGTGAATCAATCCAATAGAATAGAAAAAGATTGAAATTCTCAAGCCCCCCAACTATTTTGGTTTCTCGCCAGTCAAATCGGCCAGCAACCAGTGGATTGCGGGAATGGGAAAAAAAGTTGAAACTTCCGAGGCGGTGGGTTGCAATACCGGCAGAATGTGTTTCCGCTTTCTTGGGGTCGTTAGTGATTGGCTCTATTTGCTTGGCTGCTTCCTATACACTTCCCGAGTTCTGGGTTACAGAGGCTGGTGGGCATATACACCTGATCTAAGCTTGTTTACGGAACTTAGGAGCCTAAGGTGATAATGGTGGGCTCTGGATAGCAAAAGTTTTAATTTCGCACATACTCATAGCATCTACTCTATGTTTTCGTTTGAGATCCTTGCTTTTGACCGCGTACTGTGGCAACAACAAATCAATCCAGCCTACTACTAGTCCAGGAAAGAGCTGATGATATCATCAAAGGAGAAGAGGAGCATCGGCTTGGAGGGCAACTCATAAGGCAAGTGATAATAATCATGGGTCTGTGAATTAAAGATGAAAAAACAAAAGAGATTGACACCTCACAAGCGGAGTAAGTCCACGAGGAAGGTTTATTGGTCGGCGAGACATGGCGGCTTGCAATTCGACAATGATCGATTCAGCCCAAATTGCGAACTAAATAGATCACATCAAGACTGGTTTGTGCCCCTTTGATCAGTAACACTATCATATCGGATTGACGCTGGATGGGACTCACTGGCTATCAAACTTCAAGCGTGTCCCACGCAGGTGGCCTTGCTCGGTGAAATCCCACCTCCGCTGAAGCCAGGTGCGGATGTACTGGTAACGATCACGCTCCGACCAGGGGAAACTGCATGTCACGATGACTCGAGCCATGTCACGCAGACCGCCCGGACGGTAGGCGTTGTCGTCCTCCCCCGAGCAGCGGAAATGGTATCCACGTTTGGGTACGTACCTGTCGTCCAATACCGAGAGCATCTTGTCCATCAGGCAGGTTCCGACCCCATGCTGCTGCTCCCTTGGCATCAGATAGAACTCGAGCTTGACCGCGAACTGGCCTGTGGTCCACGGTCCGTCATGGTCGCTGGCGAGCGCAAATCCCAGGATCTTGCTGGGAGTATCTGCATCCTCGCCGGGCGTAGGACGTTCCACGGCCACGATGAACGGCAGTCGGTATTTCTTGACATCTGCGATGCGGTTCCGGACGATTTCCTCGTTTATGACCCCGATGTCCAAGCTCATTGGGGAATTTTCGGAAAACCAGTTGAAGATGCGCGCGAGCTGCTCAACATCGCTGTCTTCGACTGGACGCAGGTACAAATCTTGTCTCGTCTCTCCGGGCTTCGGGTAACGCCTGTAGAACTCGACGTCGGCTAGCCAGCGCTCATGAGCTAGACGTGCTTCCACCTCCCTATCTTCTTTGATGCGGGCCAGCCTATTGTCGACATATCCCTGGCTAGTCTCATGTAGATGCAGACGCCCGTCTTCGTCGGTGGGATCAGGCCAAGTCCAATCATACGACCAATTCGGCTTGTACATCTCGTGTGTACCGTCTGGCAAAGCCTGCCCGGTGAAAAATGCCACGCGGTTGACATCTACCACGCGAGATGAGTCAAGCGCTCTCTGTAGCCAGGACTCAAAGGAGCGCCGCCACTGTGGCTGGTCGGCGTCTACTCGAGGGGCATAATCCCAGCGCGCAAGCAATAACTCGGAGTCTTCAAAAGACACCGGGACTACCTTGTCGCGCTTGGAGTTCTTCTCCCTCAATGCTTTCTGTTCCTCGCTCGGCTCTGATGTCAAAACAATCTTGCCTTCAACCAGTCTAGGGTATGTCGACTCGGACTCTCTGTATGGAGGGAACTGCGCCTCAAACTGAGCTTTGAAAACCGGATCGTCCCTGGTGATGCCGGAGCGCCAAGCCTTCTCTCCTGTCTCTTCTTCTTCTTCTTCCACGAGTGAAGCGGGATCAACTGGGGGTGGCGCTGGAGGTCTGAGATCCGCCTCGATTTGACCAGCACCGCGGCGTTGCATGAGAAACTTGTACCGAGCGGATTCAGGGTCAGTTCCCGGTCCATGCCTCCACTCGGCAAGCAACTCGGGGCTAGCTACCTGCTCGTGGTCGTCAATGCGATCTAGGTTTAGGTGTGCCTTTAGGACAATTTCGTCTTGCAGGCGTTTGAGCTCGGCTCTCACATCGGATGGTGCGCGTGGAGGCGCTTCATATTCGGAAGTCTCGGGTGTCATCTTACCAAGCTCACTCTGCTTTCGATCGCCATCCCACCAGGAGCTGGCTTGTGGTGCATCGGGTGGGGTTCTGATTGCACGTTTGCCTTTGGTCATAGATGGAGGTGTGGTTCGACGGCCCCTCGCGGGCTTTTTTCCCTTATTCTTCGGACTGGCCATTCTGCTTTGAGATGACTTCGTTTCTTAGTCTCTGTGGGAAGGGTGCAATGTTAGCCTGCTACATGAATCATAAGTTAGAGGGACTCGGGGTTGGACACTTACCTAGGTGTGCGAAAGCCTCCAATGTCCTAGACAATGAGTCACTGTGAACGGCTATGAGAGATAATGGCTCTTCTATTCGAGGTCATGAGAGGTGAGTGACACGACTTATAAAGGCGAGAGACTTACTCTCAAAAGCCAAGGGTCTGTGGTTTCTGTGATCACTGTTGAGAATAGCTTTTTTTTCGTTCCCATCTTAACTCAAGTCGATATAAAAAGGAGATACAAAGATGAAGACAGGTGCTTATCCTGAAAAGGCGAATCCTTGTTTCAGAAGACAGGTTGAGCGTTATTGCAGGATAAGACCATAAACAAGGAAAGACTTTGTGTGAATGAAGGGGTGTATCACTCTGTCTCCTGGGGATTGATGGATATATCCAAAGATAATGGGTATCACTCTTCAGGTATAGAAAAGGAAGGATAGATGGTGAAGGTCTCTTGCAAGTTTCAGCTGAAATAAAAGAAGAGAACCGGTGGAAGAGTTGATGGTTGATCTGTCAGTCTATGTAGTTTGCAAGCTCACATGATAAGATAGTCCTGTTGCAGAGACTCCCTCCCTTTCTTCTCTCTCTGATCATAACATGCAAGATACGTTGTTCTAAAGTTATCTCATGTTCGTCTCAGTGTGGGCTAGGTGTCACTGGTGAATTTCTAGCTGGGAATCACGTGTTACAACGCTCTTCTCACTCATTGGGAAAACTCAGTTCATATTATCAAAAGCGGCGACTATTTCAAGGTGCAAGAAAGAGAAATATGAGGTGTTTGTCTTGATCTGGTTTGAATTTTGCCCAGAAATTGAACTCACTGCCCCGGGGGAAGTGTGAATCTTCAGCTTCATCTCCGGCTCGGCTAAACATATTCGAATCGGATGAAAATGTAAGCTGCGCCTTACTAGGCTGCATTATCTTCACCTTGCTTTTATGTCGCAGGCCCTTGCAATAAATGATTATGATGTTGGGCTGTCTCAGTTCCCTGAGTACAGACCTCCATCGCATACTGATGACTGAACATGAGATCTTTGGTGCCATAGCTATGAGCACTAGCAGCTCAAATACTTAGGTATTTGAAGCGCTTAGTCAAGTACTCTGTCAGTGCAACTGTGAACTCCTACACAGCGTATCTCGGAGTCTAGGATCCTGGGATGCGAGGCTCGGCACAAAAGAACAGCCATGAAATGATAGGTCCATCCCTGGATGAGAATAAAATATGGCAGTTATCTTATTTGAAGGTATGCGAGGGCCATTGCTTTTGTAGGAGGTCATGCATTGAGAATCTTTTTTATTTACTCTAGAAACGTGACGACATAGATCGCTGGTCACGTGCAGCTTGATATTGGTTAGAGCGATAGTTAAGTATTGATCTGACAATATAGCAACACCTGGAACTTATTACTGGTTGTTATCGAGTTGCCAAGGTTGATCAAAGGAAACCATATCATCAATTTGGATGGTCCAGGTGTGCTGCCGACTTTGCATTATTAGGTACCAAGTATAGCAGAGTCGTGTGCTCGCCTGCTATCTTATACAACAACTTGGTCCAACCCGCGCATGCAACCTCCCAACACCCCGCAAAATCCGTAGGAAGATACGCCCAATCACCGATCAAGCAGACAACCCGCCAAGATGTTGTCTATTCTGCGCAAAGCCCGGTTGAAGGACAAGGAGATGCGAATTCTCATGCTGTAGGCCGTCGATGACCCTTGTTACGATAAAATCTATGCGATGCTAACGCGCAAAAAACGACGACCCCAGCGGTCTCGACAACGCCGGCAAGACGACCATCGTCAAACAAGTCATGAAAGAGGATGTCACCACCGTCAGTCCCACGTTGGGCTTCATCATTAAGACCATCGAATTCCAAGGGTAACTCTCATTCATTGTACACCGGCAAAGAAAAAAAAAAAAACCTGACAGCTGACGCCCCCGAGTGGGGGAGAATAGATACCGTCTCAACATCTGTAAGGCTTCTGCCGCTCCGTCCGACCTTTTTCTTTCCCGACTAACCTACCTGGTACTCCAGGGGACGTCGGAGGCCAGAAAACGCTTCGTTCTTACTGGAAGAATTATTTCGAGAAGACTGATACCCTGGTCTGGGTGGTTGATGCGACCGACCGCCTACGCGTGGACGACTGTCGAACCGAACTGGCGGGTTTGCTTTTGGAAGAGGTAACCGTTTCCTCGTTTTTCGTTCTGGGTTTCCCCGCGGGCCCTCCTTCTGAGGCGGCGTAGGCTGACTGAATGTCGCGTACAGCGCTTGATGGGGGCGAGTCTGTTGATTTTTCTCAATAAAACTGATGTTGATGGGTGTATGACTGAGGAAGAGGTTCGCGAGGTGAGCTTTTTCTCTCCTCCCCTACTTAATTACCCTTCCCGACCGATTTACGTTCGGCGTTCCTGTTTCTGACTGAGAACTCAATACAGCGATTGAGCTTGGACTCTATCAAAACACACAAATGGACGATATTGCCCTGCAGTGCAATGACAGGCAGAAATTTGCATGAGGGGTTGGATTGGGTGGTGCAAGATGCCAAGGATCGACTCTTTTTATACTAGGTTAGCTAGCTAGATTGCCCAATTTGCGCTTCGCCGATGATCACGATGGGGAAAAGAAAAATACCCTCGATCTTTGATTTCAGATAATACCATGAGTACTAAGTTAGGACTTCAATTGGTCTACCGAGATTGCATCAAGACATGGTGTTTTCTCATTTACGCGCTAACTCAATCCAAAAAGGCACGAGATGAGGCTCACCAGCCGTAATCTCCGGCCGGCAGCCTGATATATTTTTTCTGACCCTCCCACGCGGCAGCGATGCCCGACCACAGTTGGGCTTATTGGTTGACTGTGAAAGCCCCTCTGGCTCTGGTCATCACTGACCCTGCAGAGGAAAAAGGATTTTGAATCTGAGATGACATGCAGCCCTAGCCTCCATGTACAACGGGATGGAGCATTAGCGAGGACATCCTAGACAGGGTTTTGACTTTTGACTGCGCGTATATTGCGGCTCCCTTGCTCGGGGCCGATTTAGTGTGGCCTTGTCGGGAGTTTCGGATGGACGATCAAACACTCGTCGGCTCTGTCAGGGTCCACGGTCTTGGATCGGTTACGAGGCAGGTTTTGCTGGAAATAGCAGAGCGGGAACCAGTGGTGGTTGACCTTGTGTAAGGTAGTACTAACTTAGTGTATCTTACGTCAATGGATGATGGGGTAGTAGCGGCTTGGTTTGGTTTGCCCGGCAGACTTTCGCTTGGAGAGAGCCGCCGCTGCAGCTGCAGCCTTGGAATGCCGGCCGCGTCAGTGTCAGAAAATCCTTGAACCATCGTAGATTTATCCATGGATCTGGATTTCGGGGATCCGGAGAAGCAAGATCGGAATCGAGATTCGGGAATCATGGCTGCCCCGAGGTGTACTGTACCTTTTCTCTCGTCGCGACTATGAGCACTTCATTAGCAAGTACGTACTGTACTGTACGTATATCCTCCGTACATTAACCGGATTGCAGACTTCTTGAGTGAACGGAGTGGTGCGCTCTGAGAGTGGGTGTGCTCCACCGCAAGACCCGAAATCGGGAACAAGTAAACAATCTTCCGTGTCGAGGAAGATCAAAACACCAAACGTGTTGATTTCGGTAGAAAGGGGATGTAAAGCTTGAGAAAGTTCCCTGGATGACAAAGTATCATTAGCATAATGGTTTTTCCCCTGGGGATAGGATTACCGTGATTATAATAAGTATTGATGTGCATCCTGTCTCTCATGCGCCTCACCAGCTAAAACAGTTGTGGGGCAGCAGCAGCTGATGGGCGTCGGGCTTCCTTCTCTGACAATAATGATGATGATGTTTTGTTGCTCATGGAACGCGCTTCCCAGCTGTTGTTGGGTCCACCAAGTCCAGTGATGAGGCAGGCGTCTGACGGACAAATCCCACTAGTACTCATTTCCAGGTGAGGAATTAGTAGTAGTGGAGAGATTTAACTGGGCAGATGAATGAGGAGCGAGTGAACTTCGTAGTAGTAAGTAGTCTGTACAGTACAGTACTAGGTAAGGTACTCCCCGTAGTTCATTCCTCGTCGGATGCGAATCGATTCTCGCCTCAGGGCGGCGAGCCGCGAGCCACGGGGGTTTCTTTTCCCTTGAATCCCTCCTCCCTCATCCACCACCTCTTTCTTCCCTTCTCTGCGACCCTCATAGACTCACGAGTCACGACCACAATTGACTGCCCAATTAGTATTTCCTCCCCCCTCCTCTCCCGCCCCTTTCTTCTTCTTCTTCTTTTTTTTTTTTTACCGCACGATCTTTCCCCTCCTGGTCGCCTCGCACGAAAACCCCCACCGTCCCTAGCTCGTTGCCCGGTGTTTGTTCGGTTTGGCAAGAACCTCTCTTTCTAGCGGACAAATTGGCAAATTGGCCCTTTTCCCTCAGTCTCTTCTCTCAGGCCACCTGTCTTCTTATCTTGGCTGGGCAGATTCGGCATTTAGCGAGCCATGGCTCCTACGACAGATATCGACAGCTCGGAAGATGTCAATGACTTTCTTCTGCGCATTCGGGAACTAGGAGAGAAGCGCGATAAGGAGGATGAGGAACGCACGAAAAAGTTGGAGGAGGAAATTCTGCAGGGGCGCAAAGAGAGACAGGCCCGAAGAGCCGGTAAATAATCTCTCTCCTTGATATTTATGCTTGTTCCCCCTCTTCATTGTTCTCCATTCGCCGCCGTCGAGATTCGTGAATCTAAACACTGACTGTGCATGGCCCTCACACAGAGCGGGCGCGATCGATTTCTCCCACAAAAGATTCCCCCATTCTTGATGCAGCACGGTTGAGCATATCCTCGACTCTCAGCCACCGTGCAATTGAACCTCCCGAACAATTTGGACCATCCCTCCATACCCTGAGCCGGGACTCGGACAGCAGACCCGAATCCATTGGGGATGACACATCAACAACCACGGACGGCGGCCGGAGAGGATCCACACTGACCGGAGTCGATGGCGAGTTACCATCTAAACCCTTCTCACCTTTGCGGAGTAGAACGGGGACTCTGTCCTGGCAGCAAAGGCCAACATCTCGTGATAGCAACAGACAATTTTTTTCATCATCTCCTTCCAGATGGCGAGCCATGTCCACAGCTTCGACGGATGAGCAGAATGTGAATCGGAACTCATTCGCAGCCTCACCCACATTCAAGGATATTTCGTGGGCGCGCCAGACAGAAGGAAGCGTTTCCCCAACCCGCAGCAAACATATGGAGGACGAGAGGCCAAGAACACCGGTTTCCGAAGCCAGTTTCCAGCACCAAGAAGCCGAAAAGGAATCCACTCCAGAACCTAGAAAGGAGATCGATCACCTAGAGAGCGTTGAGGGACGATCTCGATCGCCATCTAGAGCCAGTTCGACCTTTGCAGAGAGTAGCTTGGGCCACCGATACTCAAGCGTCTCTTCTGTCTCTACCGCGACAGGACTCGGCTCTCCGCTGCCTCTGACAAGCGCTCAGAAGCTGGAGCCCCGTAAGCCCGAAGAGGTACTAGAGGATCAGATGTCTTTCCCTCCTTCTCCGAGGCGACTTTCTCCGGAACGGTCGACGTCACCAACAAAGGGTCTCGGCGGATTTGTGCAGAGCGCCATGATGAAGCGATCCGATAGTGTGTCGAAGAGATGGAGCGCCCAGCTTCCATCGGGTCTTAGCCGGCCAAGTTCGGTTGCTAGCAGCCGTAACAGCTTCGTCGGGAATGAGACCTTCCCAAACTCGCCCTCATATAGATTGAGCCGCGAAGTTCCAAGCCTCTCACCTCAGCGGCCGACCTCCAGCCATCGGCCTACATCGAGTCACCGGCCTGGTTCGAGCCATAGCGAGGCAACTGTCATCGACCCTGCCAGAGACAGTGGACGACCGGCAACCCCGCCAGTTCCCATTCCCGAAAAACAAGAGAGCAATGCACTGGCTGACGAGGGGACCGCCAGGCCCCCTCTCAGCCTCCAAACGCGGTCAGCTAGCTCTGTTGAAAAGGGCCCAGACTCAAGTTCTTTGCCTTCTTCAAGTCCAGTAGTTTCCAGGACCATGGATCCTAGGAGATGGAGTCCTACCAAAGCCAGCTGGTTGGAAAGTGCCTTGAATCGTCCTCCTGACTCACCGAAGCACAAGAGGCAGCAGTCCTTTCAACAACCGTCATGGGTTAGGGAGAGGCAATTGCGGAGCAGTGTTGATCTGGGACGGACTTCTAGCTTCAAAGAAGTCACGCCCGTGGGGCTCATGCGAACGGCTGCTCCGGGCACTCACTCCAAATCATCCAGTGTGTCCGGGATTCCAAATCTCTTCTCTGGAGCCGACACGGGCAAGGCCAAACCAGATGATTTCGCCACCATTCTGTCCCCTACTTTGAAGGAGCCCGGCCTTGATCTCGTTCCTAATGAGGACTTTCCAGAGGCGGAGCCGAAAGACAGCGAGCCGGCTGAACCCAAAGATGATCATGCGACATTCGAACCACCAGATGATGTCCCCGCTAATGATGTCCCCACCCCTGCTCCTGAGCTGAAGGACAGCATAGTCGAAAATCTACCCAAGGACGGACCGGAATTTTTGCCCAATGACAGCCAGCCGGCTCACAGTTCCAAAGACAATGAACAAGCAGCACCTTTGGAGGAGAGTGTGGAAATCCCGCCCCTCTCCACAGCAGATACAGAAACAGAAGTCGCAGAAGACAACACCATGAAGCCTGCATTGAAATTGTCAAATCGAAGCCCGATTGCCAAGACCGTACTTGACATGCCTCTTCCATCTCCAACTCGCGACCCGCTCTTAAACAGGCCCAAGCCACAACCAGCTGTGATCGATTTCCGAGCCAACCTTCGACGCCGCGAAATTGTCAAAGATGAAGCGCCTAAAGAGGAGCCAGAATTTAAAAACGTTTTTGGAAAGCTGAAGAGGGCCGGGGCATCGACCTATGTACCCCCCGATGACTTAAAAGAAAATATCTTAAAAGGCAAAGCGGCGCTCAGTACGACGAACGGTCCTCAGAAATCGCCAAAGACTGATGACCTAAAAGAAAGCATACTCAAACAAAAGGAAGCAATCAAAACTAATGGGGGCTCAACTAGGCGAAACACTGCCGGAGAAACGGACGCTCCCATGAAATTCGTCCCAGAAGCGATTGCAAAGAGGAACAACTTGACCAAGTCTATCAGTTCTAGAAGCAACCTATCCACTACTGACGCACCGTCTCCCCGCTCACCACTTTCGCCGCTATCACCTTTTGAGCCGCCGATGTCTCTAGAACCACAGGCTCTAAACCTTTCTCCTACTCGGCCGGATACCAACGCCACCAACGAAATGGCTCACGATTTTGAAGAAACCGTCGAACTATCTGAAACCCCCATGGGTAGCTTTGACGGACATCAACTTGGGACAGAGAGTGAAGCATTCGAAAAAAGGGCCAGTTACAACAAGGTGGAATCTTCCCAGCACGTCGAAGCGGATTTGCCGACTACAGAAGGTCAAGAGGAGGCTCAGGGTCATAGAGACGTCTCCCCGGCTCGTTCATCAGTTCATTCATCGGTGCGTTCCTCGGTGCATTCCGTGCAATCCTCAGTACGGTCGTCGGTGCGTTCTCTGTCTCCGGTGGAACTGGACCAGACTCCACATGCGCCTGCTGCGGCTGAAAGTACCGCTGCTAAAAGTAAACTTGCAGGCCGAATCAATCCTGCCTTAGCAGGACTTCTGTCTCGCGGGCTGCCAACCACTGGCAACGGCTCTGCCACGGGCCTTTCCATCACCGGCAGCCTCTCAACGGGAAGCTCAGAACAGCAGGAGCCACAACCCCCGGCCCCCCTCACGCACATGACGAAAAGCCGGGCAAGAGGTCCAAAAAGGCGTTTGCCCATAGGGTCGGCATTTGAATTTAAAGAGTTGGCCGCAGCGACAGAGGTCGCTGTGGAACACCCTAAAGATGGGGTTGCCAATGAACACGATATCAAAGAGAGACTCGCAGACGAGAGAATGAGTGAGGAGAAAAGACTTGAAGCAGAGAAGCTCGCAGCGGAGAAACTTTCTGAAGACAAGCTTGCAGAGGAGCAGAGACTCGCGGAAGAGCAGGCAAAACTCGCCGAGGAGCAAGCGAGGCTTGCTGAGGGGAAGCTCGCCGAGGAGCAAAGACTTGCAGAGGAGCAGAGACTCGCAGAAGAGCAGAGACTCGTGGAGGAGCAGAGACTCGCAGAAGAGCAGAGACTCGCAGAAGAGCAGAGACTCGCAGAAGAGCAGAGACTCGCGGAGGAGCAGGCAAAACTCGCGGAGGAGCAAAGACTTGCGGAGGAGCAAAGACTTGCGGAGGAGCAAAGACTTGCGGAGGAGCAAAGACTTGCGGAGGAGCAAAGACTTGCGGAGGAGCAGAGACTCGCAGAAGAGCAAGCGAGGCTTGCTGAGGAGAAGCTCGCCGAGGAGCAGAGACTCGCGGAGGAGCAGAGACTTGCGGAGGAGCAGAGACTCGCAGAGGAGCAAGCGAGGCTTGCTGGAGAGAAGCTCGCGGAGGAGCAGAGACTCGCAGA